TTTTGATACTTTATTTCACACGTGTGTGTGTGTGTAATTAACAATAGGTATAGGCCACGTTAGTGTGTTAAAAATATAATTTTATAGCATTTGCCACTCAATAATACAAGCATGCGCAATTTCTGTTAATATACCTAGGTAGTTAGTTAGTTACTTGTAATGTAAATCAAATTCAATTTGACCTTTTTCTATTGTCAAAGTGGAATTGATTTAACACAGATCGTGATGATTTTATGAATGTAGTAAAAGTATTTTAGAATAGAATTGGGTATCTATTTCATTTCTAACTCGGTGAACTTCAGGTGTTAACTGTAACATAAATCTATAATTCTATTTTTATTCAATTAAATAAGTACATTGTCATTACAACTGAACCACGATTTTAAAACCTTCGAAACAAATATTTTAAGTTAGTAGCGCCAAAACAAAATCATTGTCTATGTTAAATTACAATAAAATTGCAATATACTCAATTTTTGTACACTATTATTTGTTTTATTGTTCTACTAGTACTTCTTATCAATTAGAATTGATACTAGAGTCCTTAAACTGACATAAATAACACAATTATATTTATTACATTGATTCCACTTTGGGGATTAAGACATAAACCTGTGTATGTATGAACTATTAAATAAATAAATAAATACAATGCCACACGAGCAAACCTATAGCTGTCCATATTATATTCAAAATACATCCATACTTCTTCAGGGTTTTTATATTATTACATGTGGGAATTGAAAATTTCACAATAAAACGCATAAATACTCTTTACTGTAAACAACATAACGTACAATTTAGGTTCAAACTCGTTTGAAGGGATGGAAATGATGCATTTTTTAAACTAACCGAGTAAAATATTCGATTCGACTTTTCATTAAGTAGTCCAGTCAATAAAGCATTATAGATGGAAAACTGTAGAACACAATTTCTGACTTCAGGACTTTATTTAGACTAGTTAGAAGGTGAACATAGCAAAAGTCCCCGCCCGTAGCCCTTGAGCCGGCGGGGAGAGGGGGGTTTAAAGGTGCCACTTTTCGGTTTTTCGCTTAATCCTCGGAAACTATGCGTCCTAGTGACATGACTACTTTGAACCAAAAAAAGCATATTCAATCTGCTACAGATGAGATGGACAAGTTTTTCTATAAATTGTATAGTTTTCGCAGCATCTGCTCTAGAAAGTCTGTAATATTGGAAATTTTATTTTTGTCTTACATGTTCCCATCAGGAGAAAATCGACTAAATCAACATTGAGCAATCATTCTAGACATGCGGGAGCATGTTAAGCCTAGTTCCAGCGAGGGGACTATACCGTGCGTATATTTAGACGAATCACTTTGAGCCACTTTTGAGTCCTCATCACTCAAAAACTACTGTGCATTAACACTTCAAATTTGGCTCATGTGTTGAGACTTACAAGATATACATCAGTTTCAAATTTCATAAATCTGCCTCAAACGGTTCTTTAGATATTGACGTCCAAAAATCTACATGTCTGACCTATAGACCAAATTCTAACCACTTCCAGATGACCTCGAAGGTTCAAATTTGGCATCCAGAAAGGTAGTTATGTAAATACAAAGGAACAAATAAAAAACCAGTAAATTTTAACATTTCACATGTGATAGATAGATAGTAGTGCTCTAAATATAGATTTTTGAACGTCAATACCTAAATAACCGTTTGAGTTATATTTATGAAATTTGAAGCTGATGTACATCTTGCAAGTCTCAATACATGAGCCAAATTTGAAGTGTTAATGCACAGTAGTTTTTGAATGATGAGGAGTCAAAAGTGGCTCTAATTGGTTCGTCTAAATATACGCACGGTGCAGTCCCCTCCATGGAACTAGGCTTAACATGCTCCCGCATGTCTATAGTGTTTGCTCAATGTTGATTTAGTCGATTTTCTCCTGAAAGGAACATGTAAGACAACAATAAAATTTCCAATTTTACAGACCTTCTGGAGCAGATGCCGCAAAAACTATACAAGATATAGAAAAACTTGAGTGTCTCACCTGTAGCAAATTGAATAAGCTTTTTTTGGTTCATAGTAGTCATGTCTCTAGGACGCATAGTTTCCGAGGATTAAGCGAAAAACCGAAAAGTGGTACCTTTAAACCCCCCTCTCCCCGCCGGCTCAAGGGCTAAGGGCGGGGACTTTTGCTATGTTCACCACCCAACTAGGCTAAATAAAGTCCCGAGGTCAGAAATTGTGTTCCATGGATTTCTCTCTACACCGTCGTTAAGGCATTCATTGACTGGACTAAAGGACTTTTTGAGTAAACCTAGAAATAGAAACGTCATATCTGAGGCCGCAGCGATTCCTTCTATGCAAAAAGTATGACACTCGGTTTTTAAACGTGGCCCGGCCGTTATGCTATGCTGTGCGGTAAAGTCCGGGCTTTCCCGGATATCCGGGTCCGCCTCTTTGTCTTGTATCCGGGCATAAAATCCGGCACTTTCAAATCGTATTCAACAATCAAGATTGCGTTTGGAGTTGGAACTGTACGAAAATATTGTTTTTACTAACGGAAAAGAGGTGATTGCGTTTAGGGTAAAGGTTGTTTTTTGTTTGCTTGTGTATGACTAAAACGGTTGTAGCGGATATGATGCTGAGTTTGTCACTATAAATTGTATGGGTGATGATTCGTACAGCTTTTGTACAGTTGAATGCAAAATGGCGCTGCAACAATTAGTTTCACTCTGGACTTATGGTTTTTATAGTTAGAAGCTACTTGTAGAATTATTCATAAGTGTGTCAAGTTCTTGCTTGTGAAAGTACAAAAATAAAACAAATCGTACGCCCATTCGAGTATTATATCGATCCCCAGACTCATTTGCAACCTTTTTAGTAGTAATAACACGTAATTAATTGATATCTCACTTTCTCAAGATATCAGTGTAGAGATCCAGGTAATCGGCCATTTGCATGGCGGTCACGTGCTGTAAGGCTTAGTATATACCTTTGTACTATAATATGCCACAATATTGCTACAGGTAAACTATATTATGTTACTCTACTGGACCCGTTAGCATAAGTAACTACAATACTTGCGAAATAATAACACATTCGTTAATTCTTTGTTGACTGGATATACTATAAGGGGGAAAAGTAGGCTGCTGTATGTGCCATCTACAACTAATCCTTCGTTTTTTATTGTTGTTTTTTCGAATTTTACCTACTGTCGTACCAAAAGTAATAAAACATATCTCTTTTACGATCTCCGAGTAAAGTTTTAAGTAGTTACCTCCTAATTAACACTATTTATTTAGCATGTATCAAGTAAAATATCAAGTATTTAAGTCTTAAGTATTTTAACGTCAAAGTCTTGTCAGAATCTGGGTTTCGTTGCTACTGGTGACTTTAAGCAATGATACTTTATACTTTACTCAGAGATGGTGTACAAGGCCCTTAATGTGAAGGAATATCCTTCTGAATTCTGATTCCAACTCCGAATCAAATCATTTAGTGCTGCAAGTGTGGTCACCGCCTAAGTGATGTATGCGGGGCACACACCCCTCCACTCGATTTACTTCACGCGACACGTATGATGAATGGTGGAGTTTCCTGAAGAAGGACTTAGCTGGGGTGTTCGTCTTCAGTCTGACATTTACACAATGCTTAGAAAAGAATGAACGACGGGGTATTGTTAACTTCATAAATAATTAAGAATGTGTCCCTTTAAATCTTGACTGCCGAGACACTACTGACTGAAAATAGACGTAAATGTCCGAGGCTCACCGATGAGTCGCGTGGCATTAGGAATTCGTGACATTTATCTGGATGAAATTATTTTATGTTCGTATGTATGTATAGGTGGAAACTGTTCTCGTGTCACCTGCACGAAGAAGTTGCAAACATTGGCTTCATAACAGGATGGTTAAAGGAATTTAGGGAAAACTTTTTAGACCTTATTAATAGGCGTATAAAGAAGAATGTGTGAGTGTAGTTGTTACATCAGCATGTTCATAAAATAACTAACTTTTTTTAAATTAACGTCTGTTATTCTGACATTGTTTTTCATACCTGATATTATGTCTTGTAGTGCTAACGTCAATAGCATATTAGTTGTAACTTGTTTACTATATTTAGAGATAAAAATAAAATAAAAACCACTAGTGTTGACGCAAACATATGAGTCAAACAAAGTGCAAATAAATCGATTTTAAGAAATGTACAGATTCAAAAGACAAATATTATTATTGTATTTATTGACTATAAATAAAACTAGTATTAATATAAATAAGTACAGGCGACAGCACATTAGACTACCCATTTTTGTTACAAATTCGCATCTATTACGACTGCATAAGACCCCACAGTGTTTACCTTGACGTGCCGTCGTCTGTACATCACAATATCATGTTTCGTATAAAATAACATGAAACTTCTGTCGTCTATTTCTGTTTTTGCAACGTGCAACAAAATATGCCTTTAAAAACGGCAGCTAGCAGAAATGAATTTTTCTCCTCTTTTTGTAGTGTCTGTCCCGCGAAATAAAAAGCGCAAAAATCTACTCGTGAAATTGACATGTAACATTTACAAACTATGGCCTAACTGCTCTTAATTTAAGGTCCTTTGTGTACCCAACTACCATCGTAAAATACTTATTTTATATGACACAACACCTGGAACTAGGGTTGCCAGCAGAGCAAAGATACGCGCCAAAGATAAAATCGATAAAAGTACTCTTGAATTCCTCTTATCGAGTAATTTTATCGGTTTTACATGATAATTACAGCGCGCATCTTAGCCCGGTAGGTTACGTGATAAAGCTTTGTGAATGTTTTTAGCCTATGTTCAACAAAATCAGACTACCTATACTAATTATTATGCTCGTATTACTGTAATTATCTTATTAAATTAGAAAAGATCATAGTTATCTTTCTTTATCTTTCTTTACCAGTCTTTCTAAACTGAATCAAACTAACTTGATATTTTTAGACCTGTCAACCCTAAATAGTAGCACAGTATATATATGAGCTGTGATAGTAGTTTCCAAAGTTTATTAGCGCGATATATTGAAAATGAATGTTACAGGGTCGCAGATAAAAAATATTGACATTTCTTTTTTGTATAATTCAGACTATTTTGGTGCAAAATCCTAAAAATTAAGCCGCTTTCCAAAACATCAAAATTCCAAGCCTAAAACATCGCATTAACTTTCAGCCGTAATTAACATTTATCTATCAGTTTCAGGGTTGTGTCACATACCGTTCAACTATGACCCTTAATGTGTGGTAATAACGATTATTATAACTTGGTATCACGCAACAGCACAGCTGCCTCATAGGACGGCAGCTCGGCGTCGGCTCGATCCAGCTTGCAGCTCGCACACGGCTCCCGTGGCAACTCCTGGAAGAAGAACATAATATTTGTTACAGTTAACTCTGAAAGGCAGTAGGAATGTAGTTCCCACCATATTTTGAACCTTATTCGCTTGTAAGTCCAGAAACAATGAAAAATTGGATTATGTTATTATGATTTTAAAACCCATTTTTACCCGACTACGGCAAAGCCAAAGGAGGATTATGATTTTGACAGGCTATGTATGTATGTATGTATGTATGTATGTATGTATGTATGTATGTATGTATGTTCATCTGTTCCCTCGTAACTTCTAAACTACTTATCAGAATTTGACAAATGACATACCATTAGAAGCGTCTTAATTGTCCGCTGGTTATAGGCTATATGGGGTTTCACAAAATCTAATGTGGCGCCCTCTAGCGGACAAAACATACAGAGTAAAAAAATAAAGTTAAGATAAATATGCCGTGTTTGGTATCATTTGAAAGGGCTTTAATTGTACATTTTGAAAATATATATATTACTAGCATTTGCTCGTGACTTTACCTGTATTCATGGGCTGATTGCATATAATTCACATCTTTTCGTTCATTGCTTCTTTACTACTTATTAGTTCATCAATTTAACTTTTGTTAATATTATGCGCCACAAATACACTTTAACACCAAAATGGTACAAATAATAAATAAAAAGTAAAAAAAACTAAAACCCAACTACGACAAAAAACGACGCTAAAAAAGTATAAAACAAGATTTTCAGAATACTGAACTGAACAAAGTTGCTAATGTAGTTGCATAGTAATTTTCATGTTTGGAAAGGCGTAGTCACACGTTACATATACCTACCTACCATAGCACTTTGATAACGTGTGACTGCGGTTTCCAAACATGAAAATTACTATGCAACTACATTAGCAACTTTGTTCAGTTCAGTATTCTGAAAATCTTGTTTTATACTTTTTTAGCGTCGTTTTTTGTCGTAGTTGGGTTTTAGTTTTTTTTACTTTTTATTTTTAGTTATAACATGTTATCTCTAGTTTAGTTACTTTTTACTAAAAGTCAGTAAATAATCATCATCATTTACTTTCGTGACAGTTTTCTACTTATGTATGAAAATTAAACTCAAGCTAAAAATCTTAATTCAACAATCGGGGGTTAGTCTCCACTGTGGTACAACGACTCTCTCAATTACCATCTCATTATCATTACTAACCTAAAATCAATTATTTTCCTAAATGTAATCCATAAATCTAGTCTTCTTCTAAATAAAGCAAAATAAATAACGTGCAAAATCAGTTTAGGAAATTAGACATTATATTCTACTATAATGTCTAAGCGCTGGACGCAGACCGCTGCCAATCGATCAACATGGAAAGCATTGGGGGAGGCCTATGTTCAGCAGTGGACGTCCTATGGCTGAAATGATGATGATGATAATGTCTAATTTCCTAAACTGATAATAAACTGACCTGTAAGTCTACGCTTTCCTTAAAGTTCGAAGGTCCTTCCACGTCGACGACGGTGTCGTACGCCGGCGGAGGGCCCGGCATGTCAGTCTGTACCTGCGAACGAATTACAATACAATAAGCTAGCTGTCATCAGTCCACCTTGTGGGTGGAAGTCCCACGCTACGTTTCCCGGTACGCGGAACCTTGCTGCCCCATTGGCCGTCAGTTCTGCGTACTATGTACCCTGCCTATGTTCAACAGTGGATGTCCTATGGCTGAGATGACGATGGAGTTAGCTGACCATAAGTAGCTGATAATATTATTAACCAAGAAGTAATTCCTAGGCAAATATATTTGTTACGTAATTCTAAAATTGGATTATAATACAGTCAGCGTCCAATACTCGTAGTTCGTGACACCCAAAATGGGCCAGTTGATAACACAACCTTATTTCAATTGTAACAAAGACGTGTTGCGTTTTTATTGGATTTATCTCAAACTATTTGACGCTGACTGTACGGACAAGATGTTTTGTTTAACTGTTCTAAGAGTAGGCGCACACCGTTGATTTTTCGTCGGCCGATAGTTTAGTCGGGCAGTTGATCAGTATGGGCATGTATGGGAGTGCGCACACTACGCCGATTCGATTTGGCCTATTCTTCACACAAATTAAAATCAGACACAACTATCGGCCAACTAAAAATCAACAGGAGAGATTGCTGAATGCTTTGCCAATTTTTCTTACGACTTTTCAAAATTAAAAATAATTTAACAAATGAATGTGGAGACCATTTTGTATTCTTCATGAATTTTATATTCTTCCTTCGGGAAAAGTAAATGTGCAATCAATTTGGCTAAGGTTTCCTTAATGTAAAGCTGTTAATATTCCCATGAGAAAAGAATATAAAGCATCAGCATTATGAAATTGAATTATTTTCTGTCTTATGGGTTCTAACGAGGTTATTTGTTTAAGAAATATATCTGCGATGTAACATTTAAGCAGCCATACAAATCAAAAATCCAGTCAATTACTCTGTGTTTCATTTGGGAATCGAATCCAGATTGTCTGAGCCAATTGAGTCGATTTCGAACCACGAGGCTTTAAATGTCTCATCATTTCAGCCAGTAAGACTTTAAGCCAAATATCCTAAATCAAATCAAATCATTTATTGCATTACATGTGTCGTTTGACAGTTGATACATGGTATGGTCTTAAGTATAATTATGTAGAACAAGTTATTTTGATCTTCTTCCTTAATTTTTTATTAAAAACACCCACTTCCAATACAATAAGTAAATTTTACCGTTAGTAAAGTGCAATCAGAAGCAAAACAAATATCGCTCAACCAATTCCACTCCTCAAAATCTCTACCTGTGAATAGAAACTAATTTCTCTGTGAAAACAATACCCGAGGGTAGCAGTCTAGCAGTGGACCTACAACAATAGCGCAAATGAGCCCCCAGGGGCACATGTGTGGAGAACTGATTACCAGGATTGGACCTCTTACTATGTAAAGTTACGTGGTTTTAATTGCTATATAAAATTATCACTACAAAGTATAATACGCATTGTTATTTATCATTAGCTGCGTAAAAGACGAAAGAGTCATAGTTTTCTTGAAAAAGACTGTTTATAATGAATCTTTCGGTCAGTTAGAAGTAGCAGTGTCACATAAAAGTGCCGTAAAACTTTTATGTTTTCATACAATAATGACTTGACTGAGACTCGTAACGCAGCGTAGCGTAGCGCGACGACTACGAATCGTAGCATGGTGACTACGACTCGTAGCGTATTGTAGCGTAGCGCGAAACTACGAATCGTAGAGCGGTGACTATGACTCGTAGCGTATTTAAGCGTAGCGCGACGACTACGTATCGTAGCGCGGTGACTACGACTCGTAGCGTATTGAAGCGTAGCGCGAGGACTACGAATCGTAGCGTATCGCGAGGACTGCGACTCGTAGCGAACTACACTCGAAGTGTAGCGTGGTGACTACGACTCGTAACTCACCGAACTCGTAGCGGGTCGCAACGACTTCGATTCGTAGCATTGCAAGAGCGCATGCCCGCAGTTTGCAAGGAGCTTTATTTTACGAATATTTTATTTATCACGTTTTCATCATATAAAAAGCATTTAAATTAATTTTCAATGTTTTGTTCCAGATGCTCAAACAACGCAGGCTCTTAGACCTCAACATTGAAACTGTTATGGTAAGTTACGACAAAATAACGCTCTATTTATTATGATATTTATACATTAGTTGTTGAATAAATAAAAGCATTTACAAATTCTGTGAGTATTCCTTCAAAATTAAGTTCGCTTAATTAGTCATGTTGTATTGTACCCCTATAATTTACAAAACATCCCCTTTCAAAATATAAATGGAATATTACTCATTTATTTTCATAAGAGTTAAAATTATGTTACTGACCCTATTTTGGTCTAATTTATCAATGAAGTTAGTGAAAATTTCTTGAAAACATACTTTTTGTCAAAAACATCCTTACGCCCGTATTCACAAACATTACTATGAGGTCTCACTGTGCGCGTGGATGCTCAGGGTTTACACGAACCAATCACAGAGCTTTATTCAACGTGCGTTTGATTTGCTGCTTCACTTAAAACGGGGCTATTCCCACCTCTCGTTCCCACCACTGCAACTCTCGTGTAGCCAGGATCTACAGCTTGACTGCCATAAAAACCCAACCAATGAAGGTCAAGGGAAAGTTAAACTGTCATTGGACCCTTCTTACTTCACTTAAGTAAGCATCGTTTGTGAATACGGGCGCTAGGTACACTCTGGCTGCCATTACCGAGGAAAATGGCGTTATTTTTAAACCTGCCCACTCGATCATGATGGATGACGAGACAACAATCGGAATCGGATATAGCGAGTTATTTGTGTGCCGAGTTAATGTTCCCAGTGTTCTTTGATAAACATCGCCGCAGCGAATGAAGGACAGCCAGCGCACTGCGTTCAAATATTACATAGAAAAATTAAGAGCTCTTTACTGTACTATTTGATTTGTCATAAAATTTCAGTATTTTGGTGAACTTGCAAGTTGGAATTATTAAACTACGAGACCTTAGATAGTCGACCGCATCAAAGAGAAATTCCATTTTTTTCAAAGTCGTGTCCAATGCTAGTACAATTTTATATTGCTCAGTAGGTACATTTAACGTAATCTAATCAACAATCTCGGATCTAAGACATCATTGTCAAAATATAAAATTCATCTTAATTGTAACTTAACGTTGAGATCACAAATTGGCTTCACATTAAGTACCCTAAAGGTATAATATAATAATACCTAGTATTCATATTTAGCGGTAGAAGAATCAGCAAAACCAACTCATACAAACGTCACACCTACGAGGAATATTATGAACATGCCTTATTGGAATTAAAAATTAATGCATCCATTCGTGACTGTGATTAAAAATGCACATACAGTTTTAATTCGTATTACGGTCATGATGGAAATATATTCCAATTTTAATTCGTAAAAGTTGATTTTAATACTTTGATTCCGCGAAATATCATTTCTTGAATTAAAACTGTCAAGAGTCATATCGAACTCAAATGTCAAATTAGTGACTCGACTCGAATTTAATATTAGAGTACCCGAAATAAAATACAGGCTTTGCCCATTAGTTACTGGTATAGCATTCTAGGACAATACATATTGTATATTAATTGGACTAATTTGAACTTACGAAACATCATAGCTTTTATATAGGACTTAGACTCATATCTATCACAATCTCTTTCAATACGTCAATCTGTATATGTGTATCACTGACTCATAAGTTCATAACTCAATGCAGTACTCAGTAATTATTAGTATAGCCGTAACGCGTAACGTAACCGTACCTACATTTATGTTAAAGTGATTAATTCTGAATCACAGTTTTAGGAAGCATTTTCTTTCATTTTTCTGGCTGTATTATTTGGGCTATGCTCGTGGTCTCAGAGACACGTCACCGCTGCCGATCATGCGTAATTACGTAACGCTAATGACTGCACCACGTGACTCGAGTATCGATATACAACCTAATTGTTTCCAAGAACAGCGCAGACGTCCGTCAGTTATAATGATATAATTACAATTATTAAATAATATTCTTCAACATGATATTTTATGAGGACTACTTAGATTTTTATGTTTTCAGATACTGTCATGTACAGTCTGCACATATTTGATGTACTTGAATTTGGTTATTCTTACCGTTAGTTAATAATTAAGTACTGGCAACTAGTGGTGACTGAGTTTGTTCCGGCGTTTCTTCTCAGCACTTGCCATATTTTTGTCTCGAAACGCTGATAGGGCCTAAAAGATAAGTAAGTAGACATGTAAAGTGCCCCATAAGGGCTACCTTTTTTTTCTATTTACTATATTTTGACGTTCATAAGTGCCACTTGTGGTTAAATTGAATAAATATTTTTGATTTTGATTTAAAAATAAACAAAATCGAACAGCAGATTTTTTTTCTTGCTGTATTAAAATAAGGTTAGCAGGACCCGTTTTTTTTGTTGACTTCTCTCAATTTACGCTTCAATCTACCGATTTGCACTGAGAAACCGGTAGTATACCTACCTAATCAATACCAAATCCAGGAGAAGTCTAGAGTCTAGATGCAAGCCCTAGGGCATTCTCGGTTTAACGAGCGAGGGCACGAAATAAACGGCATTTGCCGTAATTGGCGGTTGGGCCACGCTCGCGTGGACAATCGCTCACTCGACTATTTTCTAATGGATCGGATTTTCTAATTTTTCACTGGCTTAGTTGACTTGGAACTTGGAATTGGTATGCTGATTTAAGACTTCTTGACATGCAAACCCCTTTATTTTAACGGATCATTGTTTCAAGGTTGGATTATTTTTGGTGTTTTGGCTTTCTATTATTTCTGCCTTTTCTTAATTAGCTTTAACAAAGTCACAGCAGTTAATAAAAAAAAGGTACTGAGGCTGGGTTGCACCAACTTATTTTAACTTTGACAAACGTCAAATATCTGTCAAACTCCATACAAAAAACACCGGTTATCGTTAAAGTTACTGTTAAAGTTAGATGGTGCAACTCAGCCTTAGAATGATTATATTACGATTATTTAGATTATCTTATCTTATTCTCACTATAGAAGCATTACTTTTCTACTTCGTCTGTACAGACCTCTTTAACTCCCTCTAAAAATTTCCCTATGCAGGGTTACTCCGATAAACGTTATCCGAAGTTTCGAATGTTGCTATCCCTCTCACACAGAGCGAGATGCCAGCGCGAGCGACGGTGACAGATAGACCTAAAACTACGTAAACAGAGTTTCGGAGTAGCCCCTCAGAGTATAGCTAAGGCTTTTGACATAATGTAGTACCAGGCCTGTTCATCTCCGCGAGTTTGCATCGAAAACAAAACACACGCGACTATACCTCCTGAGATATTTAATCGACCAGGACAATCACGAGCGAGCATTAACGCACGCACGTGTATTCTTCACCCATTTGCATTCTAAAGACAATAAACTATGTATGTTAAAACAGTGGTGCAACTAATACTGTGCAGTATTTTAACTGCCTAAATATTAATAGAAACAAAATATAATTCATGCGTATTCATGTATTTCCTCCGCCATTTTCCGCAGTTTGGCACCTCACGTCACACATCATTTTATCGAAGTCAGCCCTATGGCTTCGGCGCAGTACCGATCACTGACGTTTGTCAACAAAATGGTGCTCGACTCTTGAGACAAGTTAAATTACACCATTTTGTTAACGACATTGAACATATTTTTTTTTAAATATCGTTTTTGAAAACCTTCTGTATGTAGTACTTATTATTATTCTGTGGTATAGCTAAGGCTTTTGACATAATGTAGTACTCCGTGTGCGCTGCGCCTATCAACGAGGGCATGATTGATCACCGAACACGGTTTTATCATTTGCCTGAAATTAACTGACAACACCAATTTACTGTTGACATCTATGGTGGCAATTTATAACAGATTTAGCGATACGGATCAAATAGGTAGAAAGCACTTATAAAAATAAGTAACATGTTGACAATATTTCGACAACAGATGGCGGTATGCGTTTTTATTTAGCGGCATATCATTTTAGCTTGCTGTATGAGGGCTGATTTTTTAATCTCCGGATAGCTTGTAACTGAAGAATATGTTAGGCATATTGACAGTTTCAGTATGGGGAATATGTCAAAATGACAAGTTTGTTCTTCAGTTAAAAGCTATCCGACGATTGAAAAATAAGCCCTTAATATGTTAAAGGCATAGTATTAAACTTATTATTGCTTGATCACATCACTTGATTAGCATGTTATCCTGATTGGGCAGAGAACTATTTCAATATCCTTAGGTAACGTAGGTACATACCTAATTCATATAAGTATAATATGCCGACTGAAATAAATAGATAATCATAATATTCAAACACATTCTTTCCATACATTTGGACACGATTTTCATTTTTTCTCAGCCTAGTATAAACTAAGTAGAGATAAAACAGTACGCCAAGTAAACATTTATATGAAATGTCATTAGTATCCCTTTCGAAATACATATTTGCCACTAGTCGTATAAAAATTAAACAAATTAAACACCGCGTCCCTATAGGCCGTAACTGGCAACACTACAGTAAAATAAAGGGATTAAACAAGAACCGCGAAAAAGCCATTTCGGTAAGCACATTCAGTTTAAATGGCATCAAGTTAAAATGCTTTCGTTGTGTTGAAGGCTGCGTCTGTTTGGGTACTTGACAGCTTAATGGCTCCATTTAAAACTGCGCTTCAAACTACCCTCGGTTTGAGCTAGTTTAAATAAAGACACAAAACAAATTCGAAATCACAGCGCTGAAAAAGCTTGACGTCTAGGCGTCTGTTAGGCCGGTAGAACGAATCTGGTATTTTTATGAGTCTACGTTAGCCTATTGAAGGTTTTTTAGGTAAAGTTGGTGCTTACACATATAAAAACGTTGAATTTTTAAAAATATAAATAGACTTATGCCCGTTTTCACCGTCAATCCCTAATTTTAAGTGACACCCACTAACAATTAGGGATTTATAGTGAAAACGGGCATTAATTTTAAATCATCTAATCTTAATTAATAAAAACAAAAGACAGCTACCTTTATATGCCTCGTGTTGCTATTGAAACGAGCACATTTACTTACTTAATTATCGAACCACTAAACGGATTATGTTCA